GCATCATGGCTAATAAAATATCTTAATAGGGACATAAGGTGATGCACTATGCCAGAAATTTGTTCTGTGTTCATTCCAGCTATTTTGTCTTCTGGTGGAAATTGTGAGTAAATAGCCTTACAACCCAGATAAGCTCTGCCACAGATGCAGAGCTGCCATAGTTGGTTGTTTGCAGGACCATCGTGGTTCCAGCCCATTGTGTTAGCACTGCCTGGATGCAGCTGTATGGCTTCTGAAGCCAGGCTGAATCTAGAAACAGTTGGTCTGTACTTCACAGTGTCCAGGCTGATGGGCTGTGCTGGTCCTCTCTGGAGTCAGTCTGCAAACAGGGATGTTTGTGGGACATGATGGCTTCCTGGTAGCTCCTCAGAGGGCCTGTTGGGGATTTTCAAGGTTTCAGCAGGGGTTGTGAACCCAGCTGGTTCTGTGTGGGATGGATGCATCACTGTGATCCCTTGAGTTCTGGGCAGACTTGTTATGAATAGGGCCAGCTCAGATTTAATGCTGAAACTGAGATAGTATCTGCCTGCCTCAAAAAACCCTGGGAAGTACTTGCAAAATCACTGAAGCCCTGTGTGGACTTCTTCAGGATGCCTCAGATGCAGCACTGTGCAGCAGTAAATGTGGATTTGTGAACAGTCAGCTATTAACAGCATGCTAGGGAAAGCAGCACTATAGAGCACCTATGTTTGCTTTCCTCCCCTATCTAAAGTATCCCTGCCTTTTGTTTACCAAGATAAAGGTGGTCTGTCATGGAGATCACAAGTGTTGTGTAATGTTGTGTAATTCTTCATCATCAAAGATAATGGGAACTTTCTGATAAAAATGCTTCTGATGGGGTGGTGAATGCTATTTTTATTTTATTTTTAATTGGTGTCAGTGTATTATTATTTATCATAACTTTTTTGGGGTTTTGTGGGTTTGTTTTTTTTTTTGTTTGTTTTAATACACTGGGAAGATAAAAAAGTCTCTTATGTCACCTCCTTCTGGCAAATTAAGCTTGTTTTATATATAAAGCTCTATGACAGTATAGGTTACTTTTGACTGCAGTTTTGGGGGAAGGTATTGTTGGACTGTACTTAGTGTCATATGCTTCCATTGTAGTCAGCTTTGGCAAAGAGCAACCCTCTTGTTACTTCTGTTTGGGACATTTATGTCTTTATCTTTGAAAGCATGATAGAGTTCAAAACCTAAAGTAGTCAAAGGTCATGTGCTCATTCTTTGTTCTCTGCAACCTCATGGCCACCATTTCACAAACATAAGGATTCTTTGTTATGAAATGTTCCTTTTAATTCCTAGATACTTCCATGGGCTATTTCCAGTCCCCTTTTATTAGCGTCTCTCACTTTTTGTGGCTAGACTTAGACTTTGGGATTTCTTTAAAAAAAGATCTCACTGCTTTCAGCTATCCCAGATACTTTTAATAATAATCTCATTTGTTACATTGAACCAGTATCTTAACTCTCTTTGCTTCCTGGGCTTGGAATAGACAGTAACAACATATGAAGTTAGAGAATTATGGCCCCGTTAAATGAGTGCAGGGACAATTCACATTGCACATGTAGCAAAATCTGAAGAATGAAAACTGTTTGTTAAGTTTCAGCTATGAATGAAGATAAACAGTATGACCAACAGGTGAAAATATTGTAGGTAATTCTTAAGAAGAAAACATCTGCACTTTTTTTTATCTTGTGTGTGTGTAGCTTCACATGCAGACGCACGCACACACAGTTGATGCAGTGTTATTCCTCTGCCCATTTACACTGTTCTTGTGGAAAGTCTGTGTTAAACCAGTGGCAGCAGCAAATTTGCTGCTCTCCAGTCTCATCTTGATTTACATTATACAAATTTTCACAGAATCACTGCTGTTGACCTTTGTGTTCCTTGCTAGTTTCAGCCCCAGCATGGCTTTGGCTTTCCTAACTCCACCCATGCATACTTTTGCATTCTCCTGCATAACTTGTCTCTACCTCCATCTTCTACACACATGAGTTTTGCATTCAAGTTCATTAAAATTAATCTATTCTGGCCTTCTGCCACAGGTGCTCAACTTTCTGCCCATACAAATGGGCTGTGCATGTGCTTTGAGGAAGTTGACCTCAAAGATCCCACAGTTCTGAGCTCCTCCTGAAAATCCAGTTAAGGATATGACCTATCTAGTAAGCGTGGATGTTTCTTAAAAATAAAATCCTAACATGACAAGCTAAAAGTTGATACATTTGCAGCAGAACTTTTCTACAACCACGAGAATTCTTGTGGTAGCATATCAGCTACATACAGCTCCTTTATTATGTTTCTCTAATTTCATTCCTGATTTTAATGTCTACGTTAATATATACTGTTTCCATTTCAGCAGGGCTTAAGTGTGATGCTGAAACATGCATTATGAATTGGTTTACAGTGCTGCAAATATACAAGTTTATCTAACTTGAAATAAGGTCTGTGTGAATGGAAATTGTTAGGGTTACCATTGAGATCAGTGGGACCTAAAGCAAATGCATATTTATGGTCTAAATTAACAGCTAAAGAATGGCATAACAGTAGTGCATATCTAGGTTTTCCAGCGTGTTAATCACATTGAAAGGTGAAACTCAGCTGGAATGGTGGGATCCAGGAACATCAATGGGAATCATAGGTGAACACTGCAAACCTTATCAAAAGTCATCTGGTTCGTTTTTGAGCAATCACAGTTCTGTTTTCCCAATTCTAGTGCTTACTAAGCTGTCTTTGTACAAACTGAATTCTCATTTAAGACCAAAATCTACCTCTGTTTTGGAAATAAAATGGACGCAGGGACTGAGCTGCTGCTTGTTCCCGCTGTTTAATTGCTGCAGTCTTCCTGGCATAGTTTTTATCTGTATCACCTAGAACTTTATAGGGCCCTTCTCTCTCCTGGCATGTTTTGGGGGATACCACATGCCAGGAGCCATTCCCAACAGGTAGTGTAGGTAAGGCTCCACTTTTGTTTCCTTCCACCGTAATCAGCCATACAGCACTATGCCAGCAGGTCATGTAGCCTCAAACACCCCAAATGCCATAATGCCTCACAGCAGGAAGGATTGCATACCCTTATTTTCATACCATGAAAACACTGGCCTAATAGCTCTCATACAGTCCTCATTTTGAAGTAAAAAAAAAAAATCTCTACAAATATTGTATTAAAGGCATAGGGGTGTTATATAGAACTCAGTGGAATATAACTAAGAAGATCCCAGCATCAAAATATAAGGTCAAACTTTTTTTTAGGGACATTGGCTTCCAGGAGAGACAGGTGGACACATACAATGTGTGAGGTTAGTGCCTTAGGCCTGTTCCCCGTGATGGTCATTTACACTTTGTTTCACATAATGTGTGTGTTTTTCCATCTAGGCTGTTCCTTGCTTCCTGTCAAACCAAGCGTGCTGCTGACTGAGTCATGGCTGTGTATACAAGCTAAATCCTGTCTTCTTATCTCACTTGCACTCACCCACAGTTGACTTAAGGAGGACCAGTATTAAACCAGTGAAGTCAAGCAGAATGGTGGTAGAAAAACAGAGTTAATGTTGCCTGTGCCTTATGGCTTTAGAAACTATACAGCAAAGCCATGACTGATGCTGTCCATTCTGTGTATTGCCTGACTCAGTGGTGCTATAATGCAAACGACAAACTGAAACAGTTCTTTCTTCCTCTTTTGTTGTGTAGCTCTTGGCCTTTAAGTTCTGCTCTGAAGGCAGTTACCAGTTTTCTCGTGGTTTCTCTGGCAGTTCTTAGGAGCACTTCACAAATCCCAGTTCAGGAAGATTTTCTGCTCTGATATAATCGTGCAGAATCTCGTGGAACTTTGCCAGGAAGTTTCACAGGTGCCGACAGCAGAGAGATTAGAATCAGAAATCTTCGCCTCCATTTGCCTCCAAGTGGAAGTGCATGTGCTCAGTTGCAGGAAGCCCTCTGGTGGTTCACGTTCCTTTGTTTCTGTTCGTGCAATCTGTTCCAGACCCTTTGCCACTCCATTGCTAACCACGCTGTCTGCAAGCAGCACCATGCTAGATGCTTCCAGTGTCACGCTTCCCTGTTGCAGACCCTTTTCCCTCTCATCCAGATGAGTGCCCAAGCTCCGTTTCAGCACTGTTACCTTCGTAGCTACTTTTTCCATTCCTACTTTCTCAATCAGCTTCACATCTTAGTTCAGCATGTTGGTGTGTTCATACTGTGCCTTGTCTTATCAAAGGCCATTTCTCAGCAGCACCATCTGACCAGCTTCTTTTTGGTATCAGCTATGATCATGCTGCAGTGCTTCCATTTCCGTGCTGGCTGTATGCTGGAGAATAGAGTTCTCTCTGAAAGCAGCAGAGGAAAAGCCAGTTGCTCATTGTTTATAAGGAATGTCTGGCTTCACTTACAAATTTGGCCTGGAAGGAGTGTGTACAGTTACTGTTGGGAAGTGATGTGCGTGCCATCTAGTCAGCTCGTAGTGGGAGACTTGAGTATCCAAGCTTGGAGATATTAACTTCTAAAATCTGAAGTCCAAATGCATACAAGTGTCTTCAGGAACTGTGGTGTCCCTCATTGAAAAAACACCTGGTGGTTAAATTTTGCATCCTTGCCTCAAGATGTGGTATAGCTAGTGTTTTCAAAACATAGATCAGTGGGACATGGGTGAAAAAAGTAGCTGAACTTTTTTTTTGTGGCTAAAACATTGGGAAAAAAACTTGACTGAGAAAGATGCCTTGCCTCATCAAAAAAATCACTGAATTTATGCCAGGTAAATTGGAAAATTTGCTAACATAATAATTGGCAACACCCATGACACCACTTAAATGTGTTTGTCATGGATTTAAGTGAGAATTCTGTGTTACGTGAAGAAGGCTACAGATTGAAAAGTTTTCTGTTGTAACATGGGAAACACAATGCTACAACACTGTCATTTTCTACATAAAAAGGTAAGGACCTTCTAGTGCCTAACTTGAACATTACATTTTAAAGATGTTTGTATTAATTGGTAATTTCTTATTTTATTTAAGTGTCTGAAGAAAACAAGGAACATGGAAGGTCATAAGTAGTAAGTACCTTGGTCATTTTTTTTCTTACTCTAAAGAGCTAATGGTGTTTGACACGCTGATTTGTCACAGCCTGAGTTTATCTCATGCAATATTCTGGCACTTAGTATTTATGTGAAGTCATTGGTAGACATTCTGTTTAAAAAGAATAAAAATAAAAGATGAAAGACTGCCAAAGAATGGAAAAACAAGTGAATTGAGTAGATAGAAAAATAACACATTACAGATTTCCTGTTTAATAGAAAGAACTATATGAACTGTCATATTTCAAGAGGTTTATCCATGGTTGTCAACTTCACAATAAAATACATCCTTCTTTTAGTTTCATGTTCTGATTGTTCAACAAAACCTAAATACATCCATGATTGCTTGACACAAAATCCATTTTAAAAAGTATTGACAAGTATCTACCAGTAAAAATTGCTGTCAAATACTTCAGTAATGGGATTATAAATCTTTTACAGTCTTAAGTATAAGAAGGAGCCATTAAATTCTCCAAATGAAATTAGAAGCTTAATTTGTGTATGTTTGTAAAAGGTTACTGTGGATTGGAACTAGATGATATTTAAAATCTGTTCCAACCCAAACCATGTTACAATTATATTCCTCTTATTCCTTCAATTGGTTTATCACTCTCCAATTCAGGAATTTATTAATGCCAGCATCGTTAATTTGGGGGGGATGTCATTTTAATAACTCATTTTTACTCCTTGCACTATGCCGCCAGAATTTCTAGTGACCCCAAGTGAGGTAGATATTGAGGCTGTTTGACATCAGATGAATTACACTGTTTTCTTCGGTTGACCACTGAACTATCGGTTATCTGTACAGCTGTAGCAAAAGTTAAAGCACACAGCTAGCCCGGCAGCTGAGGTCCTTACACTAGCTTGTGAGCAGTTTGATTTTTATTTTTTATTATTATTATTATTATTAAAGTAATGCTATTTTTATTAAACTCTCACATTCTATTCTCATATAATCCAGGAGGATCTTCTTGTAGAGGTTGTAGATTTTATTAAGTTACAGTATATGTCAGGTCAATATAGGCTTCACCTGACTTGATAGGCTGTCTGTTGTCAGAGCAGTTAAGGGTTTGTCTGTGTAGAATTTCACATGAAATATGGTATGGTTTGCATGTGTTGTTTATTTTGTTCTGTAGCACCAAAATATCCTTTAATTTTAATGAAATTAATAAATAAAACTTTTGAAACTAATGTTTGGGTAGAATTAAATAGGTAAATATCTTTGCTTTCAAAGTTTGGGGAAGAAGCAAAGAATTGTTGCATATAAGTGTGTTTTGAATTTTGTCCTTACTCACTTCCAGTTTCATTTCTTACCACATCTTTTGTTATTAAGCCACTGTGTCCTAAAACTGATTAAAAAATAACTAAAGGAAGTAACAAATTCCTGTGAGACAAATTTCCTTTCCAGTTTAAATTGTCACTAGTAACTATATAGAGAAGATTCGTTACCCTTTTGGGGAACATGTGTACCAATGGTTTGTTTCAGAATGGCCACAGTATTCACAGCAAGCAATACACACACACACATACACATGTATATGTGTGTGTATATATATATATATATATATATATATATATATATATACACACACACACACATACCTGTGTGTCTCAGTACATATATAGAACCAATGTGCATGTTCGGTCTGAAGACCTATTGGGGTAGTGTCCGTGAGCTGTCTATGTGTTGTGAACAGTTAGTGGGCAGTATCTCGGTAGTGAACTACAGTTTGTCATTCCACAGGCGAAGGGTATCTTTTCTAAAAATAAACTCAACCTCTTTTTTTTTCCTGGAATGTTTAATATAGCAAGTTTTAGCAACCGTTTACTTCTGAAGAACTGAAAAATTACTGCAGCTTTTTATATATGCATATAGGGGAAAAGGCATGTACTTTTGCGGAAGTTAATAACAGAATAACACTTCCTGAAAGAGATTTAATGGTAAAGCTGTATTTTTGATTAAGTCATCTTAGAATCATAGAATAGTTAGGGTTGGAAAAGACCTCAAGGTCATCTAGTTCCACCTCCCCTGCCATAGGTAGGGACACCTCACACTAAACCATGTCACCCAAGGCTCTGTCCAACCTGGCCTTGAGCACCACCAGGGATGGAGCATTCACAACTTCCCTGGGCAACCCATTCCAGTGCCTCACCACCCTTACAGTAAAGAACTTCCTCCTTATATCCAATCTAAACTTCCCCTGTTTAAGTTTTAACCCATTACCCCTTGTCCTATCACTACAGCCCCTAATGAAGAGTCCCTCCCCAGCATCCCTATAGGCCCCCTTCAGATACTGGAAGGCTGCTATGAGGTCTCCATGCAGCCTTCTCTTCTCCAGGATGAACAGCCCCAACTTTCTCAGCCTATCTTCATAACGGGAGGTGCTCCAGTCCCCTGATCATCCTCGTGGCCCTACTCTGGACTTGTTCCAACAGTTCCATGTCCTTTTTATGTTGAGGACACCAGAACTGCACACAATACTCCAGGTGAGGTCTCACGAGAGCAGAGTAAAGGGGCAGGATCACCTCCTTCGACCTGCTGGTAGCATTCCTTTTGATGCAGCCCAGGATACGGTTGGCTTTCTGGGCTGCAAGCACACACTGAAGCCAGCTCATGTTCATTTTCTCATCGACCAACACCCCCAAGTTCTCCACAGGGCTGCTCTGAATCTCTTCTCTGCCCAACCTGTAGCTGTGCCTGGGATTGCTCCGACCCAGGTGTAGGACCTTGCACTTGGCATGGTTAAACTTCATAAGGTTGGCACCAGCCCACCTCACAAGCATGTCAATGTCCCTCTGGATGGCATTCCTTCCCTCCAGCGTATCAACCAAACCACACAGCTTGGTGTCATCGGCAAACTTGCTGAGGGTGCACTCAATCCCACTGTCCATGTCAGCGACAAAGATGTTGAACAGGACCGGTCCCAACACCGATCCCTGAGGGACACCACTCATTACTGGTCTCCAGCTGGACACCAAGCTATTGACCACAACTCTTTGCATGCGGCCATCCAGCCAGTTCTTTATCTACTGAGTGGTCCATCCATTAAATTGATGTCTCTCCAATTTAGGGACAAGGATGTCATGCAGGACAGTGTCGAACGCTTTGCACAAGTCCAGGTAGATGTCATCAGCTGCTCTACCCCTGTCCATCAGTTCTGTAGCCCCATCATAGAAGGCCACCAAATTGGTCAGGCAGGATTTCCCCTTAGTGAAGCCATGCTGGCTGTCACCAAGCACCTTGTTGTTTTTCATGTGCCTTAGCATGCCTTCCAGGAGAATCTGCTCCAAGATTTTGCCAGGCACACATCTTGGTGTGGTTTAAATATTGTGGGACAGGGAATTTGTCTTTGTAGGATTTAGATTAGATTAGATTAGATTGTGATTGTATTTAGATTACACTTTTTATTCTGCTGGTCTGCTACAGGAATTCAGAGTCATCTGTAATCCTTGAAGAACAATTGCATGTATATGCACCCACAGCTGTCATGTAGTCATTGCATGTATGAAAGGAGTCGTGAGTGATCTACCTTTCACATGGCATGCTCAAAAGAGATGAGTGCTCTTCTAATTCTGTATTATTCAATTGTAAAAAAGGGAGGGCAAGAAGTAATTAATTCCATTCATAAAATGAGAAACACCAACACTGCTGAATTTGCATGAGATTGCTGCCTAAGCAACTCTACTAGTTCATTTGAAACTCTCCTATTAGTTATAAAAATAAAAATTTAATTACATGGGCTATAAATCATTCCCTAATGCATTGGGAAGAATTCTTTGCAGCTGATTATTTGGCAGTACTGCTAAAATACATGTTAAATACATTCAAATTGAAAGCAGTGTGTTATTTTCTAAAGTAGGAGGGGAAAGTTAATGTACTAAGTTAATTGATTTGTTATTAATGCATAATGAAGAAATGCATGGTAGGAAGGTACATGTTTGCATGCAAATGCAATATTCTTGATGGAAATGTGTTAATCTAGCATGTTAGATTTGTGGTTTTAAGCATCATATTGAAGCTTTGTAATTTTGTTTCTTAATATTCTAGCAATTATCCAAGGGAATTTTATGACCAATATGCTCAAAGCCAAGAAAAATCTGTGGTCAATAAAATGCAACAAAAATACTGGAAAACAAAACAAACCCTTATAAAAGTTACAGGAAAAAAAGAAGATGAACATGTTGTGGCTTCAGATGCAGATCTGGATGCAAAACTTGAGGTTTGTAATTTTTACATAATGTGTATTCTTTGTTAATTCTTAAAATGTTTTCATTTCCATCAAGCTTCTAATATATAATAGAGTATATACATTTGCATAATTGTTTTCTTGTAATATGTTTTCTAGTTTTTTACAAAATTACCTATGTAAATATAGGAAACACAGTGGATTTTGTAACACAAACCCACATCCCTCAAACTTTATTTGGAACCAAATATCTCTCTTACTTATTTTTAGGTTTTGGTCCTTTTGTTGTTAGAGGAGAGCAGGAGGTGGTCATTTCTACTTATATTAGCCATTCTTATCCTTTGCTTATATCAGTTCAAGTTTTTTTTTTTAAATAGTATTCCTTAGTATATACAAGTGACATTCTTTATACAGTTATAAAATAGTGCATACAGCAGGGAAAAACATGCAGTGTGCCAAGAAGGAGCAAGGTGCGTAATGTGCCCTGCTCTTTGAAGCTTTTGTGCAGACAGGTGTGTTCTGAAATGACCCAAGAAGTTTCTGACAGTCTGTAAAGTGTCACCAAGAGAAGGAATCCTGCTTTGTCACAAATACATCTCTACTGTCATTATCCTCCACCCCACTCGAAAAATAATAAAAATATGAAGGCTCTGCAAACTGAAGAGCTTGATCGTCTTTGACACAAAGCAAAAGAGAGAATGGACTTCCAAAGTGCAGTGATCAAGTTAGTGTCCAGCTAAGTTTTATCTGTATTGTTTTGTTATATAAGGAGGAAAGTTTTGCCTTACTGGTTTTCTTGCATTTTCATAGAAAATTGTTGACTTAAGATTCTCAGTTTATCCACATTTTGGCTGAAATACAAGAGGCTGGTTTACAACAAACAAATTTTTGTAGTGCTAGCTATAATAGTGATAACTTAGAACATGATTCTATCTATGGGCTCTTCATGATGGGTTATAAATCAAGAGCATTGATTTAAAACAAGCTGGAAGGCTGTAACGATCACATAAAAATGTACCTGAGTTCCTACCATGGTTACTGTGTTGCAGATTCATCAGAAAGGATGCTTTGTTAGTTAAGTGGGATTGGAAATGGGGAAAGTTGCATTTACCAGATACAAAACTATAAGCATGTTTTCACTTAAACAACTTCTCAAGCACAAGTAACACAGTGTAAAAGACCCGTGTAAATGTTCAGGAAGTCAAACAATCCCCAAATTTAGTCAAGACTGACTTCCCACCCCCACCCACTTCCTATAGAAAATGATGCTTTATAAAATTTGATTAGAGAACTGGAGCTATGCCACTAAAATCTCAGTTTAAAACAATAACTTCCTATGTTGGAATACCAATGCAAACTTGTTCCACTAGACTTTGTAGTATTAAAAATTCAGTATGTGTGTTGCTACACCTGATAAGCATCATACACATTTTGATAACATTTTATTCTATTTTGATTTTTGAGTGTTTGTTTGGGGTTTTTTTTAGAAAGATTTGTACTACACCTTCATATATATATATATATACAAATATATCAAACCCCCCCAACATGAGTAGTTTGGTTAACTATTAGCTATTTATATTAGGTCTGTTTCCAAAATTATTTTTGTCTTTGTTTTCCTTTCATAAGTTACGATTGGTCTCTCTTTAGTTTCAGTGGACAACTTAATTGAAAGAAAAACACAATTAATAAGGAAAAATTACTTTCATGCTGGAAAAATTACTCATTGTTCAATAAGAAAATGGTGATCCTTGTAATTTCTACAAAAAATAATCTCTTTCTTGTATTTGAATTGTCAGTGTTTCTTGTATACGCTTACAAATTTTTTTGTGTATTTTGTTTCAATATCAGCTGTTCCATTCTATTCAGAGAACGTGTATGGAGCTGCTGAAAGCAATTGAACTGTATCAAAAAAGGATTTGTTGTAAGTATGGTCGAATACAGTAGTTAAAATAAGGGGGTCTGCATTATGGAATAATTTTTTTTTAATCAGGATTGACTATGAAGAATATTGGGCTTAATACTAGTTTTATAATTAAGTAATCCATGCTATTACAATAAATTTGATAATGCTGACTTGGCTCTACTGGGTGTATAGTAATTAGTGGCAGTTACTGGGGCAGGCAGGGACCTCATTTTAGAAGCTTCAAGAAGCAGGTTGTATTAAATGACCTCTAAAGGTTCTCTGCAATCGATAGTTTGATTCTCTGCTACTGTGATTTCTGGCCTGGGAAAGAGAATCCAGCTTTGGAGATATCTTTCAATTTACTTTCTTCTGTGGAATGTTGTTCATATTTTCTTGGGTTTTCTTCTTTTGACTGTCCAAAGAGAGTTGGAGATAATGTTTCAGGATCTGAAGGTAAAATTAGAATATAGAATAGTAGTGTACAAGAAATGTAGTGTTCAAGAAGTGTTCCACAGTAGCAGGTGAAATCTCTTGACGCAAAGACGTGCATGCAGCAGATTCTACTAGAATCTGCAATGGATTTGACTTGCCAGCATTTGGAAAAGGATGAGGACTTCAGGGAATATCTTTTCTTTATATTAGGCCATTCTCACTATTCATAGTGGGAAGAAATTGTTACTTTAGTAAATAGCTGCCTTGGAAGACTAATAGGTAAGACCATAATGAAATGTTTTTATAAGGATATGAGATCATGAAGACCCATGGTTCCAGCTTAGAAGTAATCAACAAGTCATTGTCATCTTCTAGTTTAAAAAAGTATCACTTTATTAGAAATATTTCAGATATTTGAAATATAATTTTGAAAATAGTGTTTGAATTGTGTAAAATGTTAAAGTTGTAAAATAATCTTGCAGAGTAATTTGAAAATGAATGTTTTTTAAAATTAAGTACTAGATTTTCCATATGAAAAATTCATTTCTGTAGTCAAGCATGAAAATTGGAGATCAAGAGAAAAGGAAGTGAACTAACTTTGGGTAGTATAAGTCAAAATTAACTTCAGAGAAGGTATGCTACCAAAGATCAGCTGAGGCAGTACAGGTGGTAAAATACAACTAAAAATAGCCCCCAAACCAATCAACCAAATAATAATGATGATAAAAAAGTAAAATAAAAACCCCAAACCAAACAAGTCTTAAAATCCATGACTAAAAGATACTTTAGTCAAGATTGAGCCCTTTGTGTAATCTAACCAACCTAGTATTTTTATTCAAGGAAGTAACAGCATGTTTCTTCTTTCTCCTGTTGGCTTTTGGCACTGATGGAATTTTGTGATTCTTAAGTATATCAGCAAATGTCTCTAGTGAATCAGATCTTCTGTTTACCAAATACAAAAATTCAATGAAATTATGTTTTTGCTGTGCTGCTTGGATTTAGAGTAACTTAACCTATTTGATGTTAAGCCTGTTTTAAAGCTGTTAGGAACCTATTAAATAACATGTTTGACCACTCATTTATTTTTCGTTAGTTCTTTCTCAGGAAGAAAATGAATTGGGGAAATTTCTTCGATTGCAGGGCTCTCAGGATAAAACGAGAGCAGGAAAAATGATGCAAGCCACAGGAAAAGCTCTCTGTTTTTCTTCTCAGCAAAGGTATATGTGTCAAAATTGCTGTCTGATTTACAAAGTATGTGGGATAATTGTAGTTGATTCACCATTGGCATAATTAATTTAGCCATTTGAAATATGTGAGGAACCAAATGATAAGAAAGTTATTACTGACCAACCTGTCTGTAGTATTTGCAATATTAGTGGCTTGCTTTGTGTAGTTTTGCCTGATCCTGGTTTTTGTCTTATGGACCTGCTATGTCATCTGTGTATCTCCAGATCCTCTGCTTGCAACTGTACAGCTCAGGAGTTCAGAAAGCTGTGCATCTGCACACATCTCTAGCAGTGGGGTTGTAAAGGAGCTGATGTCAGGTCCCTCTCCTGCTTTGTGGCACTTCTCACTCTGCAGAGAAATGCTACAGCAGGCTCATTGTGGAGGTAATCTGGGTCCGGGGACGGCAGGGAAATGGGTAAGGAAATGCCTTTTTCTGAGCCATGTAGTCTCATGCCTCAAGTAAATAGAGGAGAAAGGAGGAGTCAGGTTGCCAGTTTCTGCTGCAGCCTTACATCTTGAAGTTCCTCAGGAGAAGATCTTAGACCCCCACTGAGGTCATGTAGGTTGGGTAGGAACAAATCAGTAAAAGTAAGGAATCCAGAGACACACATATGCACAAATATGTTTGTTACCTAGAGTCCTTGATGTCTCACTGACCCTGTGTTTGCTCAGAGAGTTTATAAGTAACAATACCTGATGAGTACTATGGTGTTTTGGGGTTTTGTTAAACAGTATTGGGACTATGAAAGTTTGAAATTCACCATCATTTGCAATGGAAAATTCTATTCTGTGATATTTTACAGGATTTTTTTGGGGCTCTTAACTACCATGATACTTTCCAGCTTTAGCTTAACAGTGCAGCTGCTTGGCTCAAAATAAAACACTGCATACAGAGCACTGAGAATTTCCAATGTTTATCTTGGGTTAGAGTTTGGTCATTAGCACATCCAGTAACAGCCATGAGTGGGATCCTTAAAACACATGTAAGGCACCTTTCAGCAAAAGCACTGGTGATTTCCTCTTTATAAAAGTCTAAACGTTTATTGAAATCCCAGTGTATGACACATCTACATAAACCAAATTTTCCTTTGAAGGGCTGAGTAAGTTTTTGTAGAACGAGAAAAAATTAAGAGGGAGTACACTAACAAGTTCACATTTTATTGTGTCTCTCACTTCATGCATTTTTAAAGCAACTTTTAAAATAAAATCACATAAAAATAAAACCAGTTGTTTGTCTGGCTTCTCTTGAGATGTCTCCAAGGTCATGAAGTTGGGGCTGCTCTTATTTATGTTGTATGCCAATAGCTCAGTAGTTAGAGATCAAGAAGACACAATTCACTGGTTACTGGAGCTGAAATTAGGAATTCTCTTATGCCTAGGAAGTCGCTAAGTAACACATTAAACTAACTCAACACTGCTGTAGAACTGATTGAACCCATTTCAGTGAGGTAGCTGCTGGCAACCAAGAGGAAAGCAGAACCAGCAGGAGGAAGCAAAGCAAAAGTAGTCCTATCTAGTTTTGAGATCACATTAGGAGCTAAAGTGATGACATAGGGAAGACAACAATGTCCCCTACTGCCTTTCCAAAGTGTAGTTGCTGGAAGAAATGTTTAAGAAAATGCCTAAATCCTTCCAAAAGTTAAATGTCTTTCAAAGACATTGTTCAGATTCCTAAAATAAATAAATAAGTGAGGAGGAATGAGATCATTATCTACTTGACAGATGACTTCTTTATTTACCTTTACATTTGAAGATTAAAGGGCTAATGGAAGTGCTTTTTTCAAGGCTTAACGTGACAATCCGTATACATCTGTGGTATGCATCCAGTAAAAGTTACCTCAGGTATGTTTTTAGAGTAGTCCAGCTTGTGAAGAGGAATGGTAACAGCATACACATAAGCAGCTTGGCTAACTAAAATATGGATACACATTAGAAAAGGTTACTTGTCTACTTGCATGTGTAAGTGAAAAGTCACTACTTGAACAGGAAGATTACAAATACAATATTCATGCAAAATTAATCCATTCATGTGTACCCCCAGCCAAGCTTTAGGGCCATCTGAACATGACTACACTTAAGTGAACTGTTTTGGCAGTGTGTGGTTTTTTGATGGCTACTAATATGTCAGTACTTGTTCCGCAAAAGCAGACAGATTAATACAACTCTTTTGACATGTTCTTCTCCTTCCTTTCTTTCCTCCATGCCTTCCTCCAGATTAGCACTGCGTACACCTTTGAGTAGATTATACCAAGAAGTGGAGACTTTCAGGTACAGGGCCATCTCAGACACTTCTCTGACAGTAAACCGAATGGAACAGTATCGGACTGAATATAGAGGAGCTCTACTCTGGATGAAAGATGTGTCTCAGGAGCTGGATCCAGATCTTTATAAGCAGATGGAAAAGTTCAGGAAGGTATGAAGTTTCCTGTAGTTTCCTAGAAGGGGATGTCTGATGAGTGACAATGAAGCGTAGTTTTAGTTCTTCCAAGGAAAAATTTCAGCAGTACTAAGGATGCAATTTATTGTAACTGGAGTCCAATTTATCTGATACAGACTACAGGATCCTTCATAGAATGTGCTGGGAGGAAAGATATAGTACTAAGAAGCATCATTTTTCAGTAGTCTGTTCAACTTCAGCCTAAAGCGTTCTAATTTAAATAATACAAAATTTAAAGTAGGTTATCTGATTTTAAGTACTTAGTTGTGATGCCTGAATGACTAAATGCAAGAAGATACGACTACTGTCAGCCGGGGAAAGGAAAACTTATTTTTGCAACTAAAAAGTACAGAGCAACAGAAATGCTGCAGGGGTCTGCTGCTAATTTTTTTTTATACAGATAAAGACCAACATTTTCAAAATTGGCTGAATTGAATTGAATTCAAAATTCAATTCAAAATTTGATTTTGGGGAGAAGTTGCAAATCTGGAATTTGTTTTCAGTTTCCTTGTGCAGTCCAGCATGACTCTTGGGCAACTGCTAATCACTAAAACTGCTAATAATGCATTCTCCATAAATCTTCATTCAGTATCACTCAAGTTTGCTAAATTCCTCTCCTCTCAAAAGGCTTCCAAAAATCACAGTCTGGCAGTCTGCATTTTTGCTACCAGGTGTAAGTATAGAATTTACTTGGACTCATCCTGTCCCAGTCAGTTCAAGAACACTCATGAGAACTTCAGATTTGCTCGTGAGGCTCTGGTGCCGATTTTGTTAGAAGACTATAATGTTCACAGTTTACTGTTTATACATCTTGACTATTAGGAGGAGGTAGGATCCTGGGTATAACATGGGCCTCAAAGCTTGGGCTTTGAGTAAAGGCAGTAAAAATTTTACAGGATTTTTGTGATGATTGAAAGCAGAGGCCTAAAAAACAAAAATTGTATTAAAGTGTATGTGCATGTGGCTTAGAGACAGGTAATGTACAAAAGATAAAACTGTTCATCAATGGTTTAAGTAATCTGTGGCTGAAAGTGTTTGGAGACAAAACATACTTAATTTGTGATTTTAAAAGCTTGAATAATCCATCCTCACGGGAAAGCACTGGCATGCATCGAGGCTATGCCATTTTTTGTAAACTGAAGTGGTGACAGTAACAATTAAGGAAGGGGTGGAACAAATGAAACTCCAGCTAGTCATCTAATCTTTATTTAATGTTTCAGTATAGGGTATTCCTGTAAGTCTTGTGGCACCAGACATGTGTTTTATTATGCCTTGTGGGAAATGTTTAGAATGGCGAGTCCTTGCAGGTAAAATAATTGGTATGGTCTTGGCCTCAGCCAATTGCTTATGTATAATGTTTGATTTATTAGAAAAACACTTAAAAAGTGGAATGTTAGAATGAATAAAGCAGTACTGGTAATGGTCATACAAAACTGATTTATAGCTTTCTTGCAAAACAAATGCTGTGGAAGGTATAAATTATATAAATGGAAAAGTAATTAAAATAATGTATGCTTTGTACAGTGATCTGCTGTAGTTAAAAAGATATGAAATTTCAGCCATCTTGAATTGCTGTGCTTCAAGGTCAGCAAAAATATTTGTTTCAGGTTTTTTGGGTATTTTTTTTAAAGGTCTTACAAAACTTAGTAGTAAAAATGTGGAAATACTAAGTATATTGAAATATTTTTGAGTCTGAAATGAATTATATTCTGACATAAAGTAATAATGTAGATTATAAAATTCTGTAGCATTACCACAAATAGTTAAAAGAAAAAAAAAGAAGAACAACCCAAAACTTGAAGAAGTTCTTTTGAACCTTTCTTTCCTCCAGCCGCCTATCAACTGAAAAGCTTTCAGATTGCATTGTAATGCAGAGAACAAAAAGCTCTGTATTTTGTAGCCAACAGAGTAAAGAAATGCCCTTGGTAGCCACTTCCCTGCATACTCCATCTGTGCAACAGGCACATCAAACTAGTCTTTGAAGATTTTAACGCTTGGAGAAAGTAAACTTTCTCTTTTTTCATTTTGGGAAAAAAAATAATTCCTCAAGCATAATGTACTTAGCTAGCTGTTGCGTAACAAGACACAACAGTTTGGATTTAGTGCTTTACAAATGTAGTAGGCAAACAAAACTAATGGTGGATGCTGTAGACCTAAATAATTAAAGGAGTTATTTTTATTGTCATCTTGTTCTATTCTTGCTTGCAGAACTTAATTGTGCCATAGTGTGGCAGTGTAATGCTGGGATTTTAGGACTTATTTTGGATCTGTAACAATAATTTACAAAGTTATTCAAGTTCTGTGTTGAGAAAGATATCATAATTACTGATGCAAGGGGTTTGGTTCTAAAATATACCATCACCAGAGAGACGTATTTGATCTGGAGCTGCATATCTAGTCATACAGCAGCAAGCAGTTAATGAAGCTGATTCTGTGATTCTGTCAGAGCACTTGAAATAAAGTTTTCTTCAGACTTCTAATTGTAAAAATCCTAAGTATTACTTCAGTAAACACCTTTTTTGTTTCAGGTAAACAGTGCTGGTTTAGTGATCTTTAATGCACCTAGTGCATCAGCACTATTTCTATCACTTGGTTGTAGGACTTGTTTTTTGAAGAATGTGGCCTTTTATAATGTAATCCTATGTGTGTGTCATTATGTATACAGATACAGTACTTGATTTTGGAGGCCAAAGTTAAATCAATCCATACAGGTTTTTCATACTTTCCATCAGAATAGCTCAGGCTAAAAGATCAACAGTTGAGCCAGTATTTTCAGAACTGGTAAAATCTGAGTTAAAACATCGGCATTTTTGTAGCTGTCTTTCAAAACAATGAGGTACTTAAATGAATTTTCTAATGCTGTTCTCAAGGCATCAGTCTAAAAATGCAAGACATGGCAATATTATCACTTTCAAAGTGTCCCAGAACACTGCAGAACAGCCTTTTACATTCTTGTTTGAAGATATCTTTGTGACTGTAGCTACTTGAGTCAAACCAAGGAAATGGGTGAAGTATTTATTTTTCCCTGCAGAGTTCTATAATACTATGTAACTTAGTTCTTTTTTTGTTTTTGTTGTTTCTATTGAAAGTTTTTATGGATACTCCAGTGCTATTCTAGATATAGAGGTCTTCCACACCAAGTTCACAGTTTTAAGTGTTGCTTGAGAGAATCTAAACAGCATCTTGGCAATGGTGTGATATTTAAAACAATTTGAATGATTTGGTAGCCTTTTACCAAATTCTCCAGCACTCATCAGATTTTTAAGCTTCTTAAATCCAGGTTGTTTTATCTGTCTCATGACTGTACACTATAGCATGAGCTCTGCCATATTGTTGTAAAAATATAGACCAAATTGTCCAAGTGCTGATAGTCCCCCGATGTCCTTCCTCTAACTCTGAAAAATTTAAGCTTTGCCATGCATTTTCTAAGAAGGAGCATGCCATTGTGCAGAGTGATAAACTAGGATACCAGCAGCCTACTATGTGCAGCCTGTAGGAACACAGAAGAGACTCTGCTGTTTATTTTTACTCATTTAAGCTACCTCAGACACTTGTACCCTGCAATATAGACTTTCTTATCAAACCTAGACATTACAATGCCACCTGTAGCAAGTTAAAAGTGAGAGAACATGGCAGGACATATATCGTGCTGCATTGATAGAGCATATTATTCCTTTATTTGTTTTTCATTTCCATCATTATTCTAGTTTTCTGCTTCCCCTTCATTCTCAGGCTGAAGTGTCTTTGTAAATACCCAGTGGCCATGCTGGCATCCCTGAGACATGATGTGCTGCAGCAGTGTACTGAGAACTGGGTACCTGAAGTGTTGGGCTTTGTTTCTCCCTGTTGTCTAGTCCTGTCTGCTTTGCCGAAGCTGCTTTTTTGGGAGTTCTGCTTCTGTATGAACCAAATGAAGCTCAGATGGGACAAAGAATAGGTTGAAGCTGTATAAGGGTAAGGAGTGGTGCATGGGCTGGTTGCAGCAGACCTAAGTAAATGCCAGGAGGCTGATCTGCTTGGCATACAATGTAAGTCCTATATCTATCTCTGTGGTATTTGGTTATTAAAGCATATATGTGATTTTGTAAAACAGTATGTATTAGATGGGGTACTATTTGGAAAAAGGATTGGATTTTGATCGATATACTTGCATGGGATCTGTGAGGAGAACGAGGAGCATGGCTTGTTCTGAATGATTAGAAAGGTTCTCCCCCACAGTGCAGAGCTCTGAACTACAGAAGTGTTAAGGAGGTGGAATAGATCCTACCACAAATGAGAATTGTTAGAATATTTCCCCGAAAGATCCTAAATGACAATAGGACCTTTAATGCCTAGCTTTTACTTTGCACACAGCTGTCAGGAAACTTGAAAGCTTGCAACTGAGTTGTTTGGGCACAGTTTGAAGCACTCCACGTAGTTGAAATAAAATTAATGCCCTTAAATGACATTTTTAAGATAAATCTGGCAAGAGGAAAGGAAAGGCAGTGAGAAAAAGGGAAGTTAACAAGAGCTGATAATGATGTAACAGTACCTTAAACTGTTGTTTTTGTAATACTTTTTTTTATAATGATATAACTACCTTAAACCGTTGTTTCTGTAAATGTACAAAATTATGTAGGGAGTGGCTGATCTATGCAAGTTCTCTGTTAAATATCTTTTTAAGAAATGACAGTTAAAGCTTGTGGGGACAGCTGGGGAATAAAGATGAAGATCTAAATAAATCCATTGATTAAAAGGTCAGAAGGGAAAGGCTGAAGTATATGTATTCATTGTAAGGATCTCAGCAAGTATGGATAAGATACATCTGCTGCAGCCTGACAGGGAAGTCTTGGTACCCACATCTCTGTTCCCCTTCTGTCCCCTGGCCTATTAGCACTGCCTGAGATGAGTGCATTTTGGCTTGTGTGATGATGAAGGGGCTATACTATGTTACAGCATCATCTGCTACTTGCCTGTCCGTTATCATCAACTTAAAG